AATGCAATGTAAATGATGACTAAATAAATATAGAGCAGTCTGCTCTGACTGACCTTGGGGGGCTGCAGTATCCTACCAGCCACTTGCGTAAAGCCTTGGAATATTGGAATTCTACATGCGCTCAGCATAGATTCTGTACCATAGCTGCTGCGTCTCATTACCTGGCAATTGACGACGGTACAGTTAAAAACAGACGTGTACAGCTACTGAGCTAGAATAAAGAAGCCACTCACATCAGACAAAACTGACATCCTTTTTAGAAGTATCTGCCTGGACTTCTCGACAAAGATCTTTGTAAGGTAGCCAAAGATTGCAAAGGCGCAAGCGAGCAGAGCTGGCAGAGAAACACTTATCAGGAATTGCACAAATAAGGCACAACCAAGAAACTACATTTGAATTAGAAGAATAGTCAAATCTCAATAGGAAGATATGCTGGCCGCTTTGGTTTCCCCACATTAATACAAGGGAAATCACCAGGGTATCTCAGCTCCATGCCACGGTTCTTCACAAAGTAAGCATAAACTGGTATTTCTAATTGCTTCAGGGAAAACCTAGATAGGCATAAAAATCACCTGGTTAACAATCGCTCATTTATTGAAGTACTTTCAAACAATAACTAAAACTGCTCAGAACACTAAAAACATCTAAATAGCTCTCTCACAGAAATCTAAAGATGCCATGCATCCAGTCCAAACAATTTTAATTAAGCATCATTAAACAACAAATATCAGTAGGCCCACTTACATTTGTTCAGAACAGTTCCTTTCACTCAAACAGACCATGTTGTATTCTGCATTTGCTGGGCTTGTTTTTATCCTTGAATTATTCACTTCATTCTCGGCCTACAAAAGCAACCAAGGTTCAGTTATACATAATTAGAAGCATGATCAAAGGTTTTCATAAGCAAGCTGAAGAGAAATCTTACCTTAGCCCAATGAGTTTTGTTCAGGTTACCAACCATCTGGTTGGCGTGTGGAAAATCAGGCTTCACAGTATTTGTTATGAAAATATCTGCACAAGCAAGCAGTAGTATGAATATGAATCGTCACCTACTTTTAGATGCGATCCCAGCTCACAAGATTATGGAAAATTGGGCTATCCACAACATAGCATATCTACCAGTATTAAGAGAAAGTCCACTCTGTGCGGCTTGAAAGCTCGAGTGAAACCCTCTACAGCCCATGACACCCCCACCCAAGTCCACGATGTTCAAAGGGTTGTTGTGAAAAATTGATTGGCGGAATAACGGGCAGCCCCTGACCCTGAAAACATAAAAAGAAATATACAGAAGGAATTAGATAGAGGGGCCATGGCACCAACGCAGAAAATGAAATGCTGCATTCATGCAAAAACCTTAATGTGCTAACGACAACCAGCCCAATGCAGCTTATAAGATCTCATCAGCAGTTCCTGTTTTCCTACATTGTACATACTTTCTACTCATCTGCTTGGGTTCCTTATATGCACTCCTGCTATTGCAATGTAAATATGCCAGCATCATCAACAACCAAAATTGTGTGGATTGAAACAGTAGACGTGGATCAGCAATCGGCGCAGGCATTTTTTTTTTCCAAATCAACATGCCAACAACGCATATGAATCCAACGCCGAATTTAAACGATTCACCATTCGGACAAGCATGACAAGTGCCCACGACCTTTCACGTGCGAGCCACGACCCGGAACAGAAATGCTATTCACCTTGGGAGGGAAAAGACCGAGAGGGCGAGAGCCTCACCTCCGTCCGCGCCCGGCGCGGGAAGCAGCCGCCACGTGGCCGTCGGCGGCGAACTCCTCGAATGCCTCGCGGAAGATGTCGCGGGCGCCCCTGCGGCCGCTCCCAGCGCGGGCTAGCGCGAGCGTGGCGAGGCGAGGCGGAGGGGAGCCCCCGCCGGCGGCCTCCTCGACGCTGAGCGCACCTTCCGCCGCCCCCATCGCGCCGCGTCGGGCTAGGGTTTCTCCGACGCAGCAGGTTCTGGAAGGATCGATCCTTGGGGAGAAGAGGAGGAGGTACGGCGATGTTGCGGCGGTGGGAGTGGATTATGGAGGGGTTTGCTTTGATGACTACGAGGGGTTTGGATCCTTGGTAACCGTGCGGGCTCGAGGAGGGTGAATCGGTGTCACTCCACGACACTGTGCCTGCCCTACGGAGGAGCTCCGTAGTTGGGCTGGCCCAACTCCACGCTGCTTTCTTTTCTTGTGCCCTTCTCTTTTCGTGAAAACAAAAAAAAATGCTCAGGATTTTATAGATTTGGGGAAAAAACCACGAATTCAAAACGTGCACATGGATTTTTAAAAATGTTTCGTGGTGATTTCCAAAATATTATGAACTAATAAAACGCTTGTTGATTCAACAAATGTGCACTACTTCCACAAATCTTGTGATTTTCAAAATTGTTCCTGAATTCGAAGTATCTCCGAATCCGAAAAATGTCTGCGAATTGGGAAAATGGTGGCTATTTCCAAAAATATTCATGAATTCAACATATGTTTCACATTGGAAAAATATTCACAAATTGGGAAAAACGTTTGCAAATTTTAAAAATGTTCATCAATTAAAAAATTATCCGCATGTTGGAATTTTGAAAATGAATTCAAACAGTTTCTGCGAATTCAAAAAAAGTCTGCACGTTGGATTATTTTTGTGAATTAGAAAAATGTTTGTGATTTCAAAATTGGTTGCCAATTCAAAAAATGTTCATGAATTAAAAAAGTGTTCCTGAATTTATAAAATGATCATAAATTGGGAAAAAGTTCAGAAAAAAATAAAAAATGTTTATGATTTAAACAAATGTTCGCAAATTCGGCAAGTGTCCATGAATTGAAAATATAATTGCGAATATGAAAAGTGTTCACATATTGGAAAATCTTTGTGAGTTCAAAAAAATTCTATACATTCAGAAAATATACTATCACAACTGGAGAGTCAAACTATTTGTGTTACTGGAAGATCTCATTGTTTTAGCCTGCCAGTTTTCTATTTCTTATTTTCTTATGATAGCTTTTTTTTTAATATGAACGACAGTGGGAGAGGCTCCCACTGACTTACTCACAAAGAACC